GTGTGTGTGTGTATGTGTGTGTGCGTGTGTGTGTGTGTGTGTGTGTGTGTGTGTGTGTGTGTGTGTGTGTGTGTGTGTGTGTGTGTGTGTGTGTGGTGTGTGTGTGTGTGTGTGTGTGTGTGTGTGTGTGCGTGTGTGTGTGTGTGTGTGTGTGTGTGTGTGATGTGTCGAGCACTCTTAGCCAATCAATTTTGCAACTACTCTTTATCGCCGTCAGCTTCGAAAGCTTCTGGATGATGGCGTGCAAACCATTGTCATTTAACTATGGACCCCGCTTTCCTTACAGTCGAGGTGTCTGCTGCTTCTGATTCAGCGCGGCGTCAACACGTGCAAGCATTGGATCTACGCAAGCCCCGACACGTCGAAGCCGCTAGTGTCTATTTTAATTACGGTCAGTGGATAAAAGAACATGCTGAAATAAGCTTCACGCGACAGACAATCCGTTGAAATTTGACAGCAGAGTAGGACCTAGAGGAGGAAATCATGTAAGACCCAAGCAACATTGGAAATGTTCGCAAGGTCTCCGCGGGTGCTTGCTGCCTTCGAGAGAGATTTTGTAGATGAAACTCATGAGTTCAGAGCTCTTATGCTCATAAATCAGCCTTTCAAACACCAGGAGATACAGGCTTAACGACGTTCGGGAGCCACCACTGGATACATTGACCTATTCGGTGCTCCAAACTCTGCTTATGATAACGGGCCAAAAGTGCTACTCACTTGTGTCAATGCATTCGTGATTTTTAGCAGAGCCTGAAATGTTGCATACCGACAATTTCACCATTGCTTGGTACATAGCCTCGTTTCTCTGAATCCACAATGCCGAACAACCACGAGCTGAACTTCTCTCTTGCTTATGCAAAGCTGTTGATTGAAGAGCGAACTAAATGGCTCCAGACGCTCGCTATTAACGTGCGCGTTGGATATCCGCCTATTCTGGAAGCCCTCCCTCCCCGTAACTTTACACCCCATTCCTTCAGCGGGTCACCACGCCTGACCTGAGCCGGCCTAATGCGCTCGCTCTCCTCCAACTTGACCTGACCCCGGCTTTCCTCCTGCCGACCTACGACAGTTGGCCGCGCCTGACTTGCACGTGGTCGACGCCTTCGCGCCGGAGGACGCAGCCAGCATGCGTCGCCTGGCTGCCGCCATGCTGGCGCCTGAGTTGCACGAACATCTGTGGCGGGTGCCGTTCCGTGCCGACTGCTGGCCCTGCTACCTGGAGCCGGTGCTGGACTACGTCCGTCACCAGAGAGAGTTCAGCTCCAGACTCATCGAAGCCAACACGTTGTTCGTCAAGGAGACGTCTTCGCCGGCCGAGGATGTGCTGACCCGCTGGTGCGTATGCTCAACTGCCTGGGAGAAAGGAGAGGCAGCTCTGGCCGATGGGTTGTGTTCGTGTGGTGACTCTAGGATCTGGGTTGATCTGGCTCTTTGCAGCCGAGGCATGTTTTGCATTGCATGTAATGTGAACAGGTGGGAGGTGAAATATCAGCTTTGCTATTGGTGCTACGGAAATGCAGTGCCCGAAAGCTAGCATTTGCCAAATATGAACGATTGGTTAGTGAAAGATTATAAGCGCACGTTCATACCCGTGAATGCGTATACGACTGAACAGCGTGTTAGCATGGACCCGAGTGGGGTTAAATTCGAATCCCTGAGGATCTTTTCGCAATGATTTCTAAGCGTCGCAGGTTTACCGCGCCAAAATTTTGCATAGATGTAGACAGTTGAACAACAGATCGCTTGATACAAAAAAGTAGACTTACCTCGTTAAGCCACTGACCTACGGTAAGTCAAAATCAGGCCATGGATTCAGCGAAGTCAATTTTGTGGAATCGTTCAGCCCGATGCAACAGCAGGGTGTTAGAAGAAACCATACATTTCTGAGATTCTTCCTTAGGCAACACAACAATCGAATGTCCGTATTCCAATGGTGTAGACTCGGGTATGGATGCCAGATTAAGGTCAAAACCAACCTATTGTATTACTCTAAGACCTGCCGAATGGCGCAGTTTCTGGTGCTCACTTCGAATTTATTGATAATGGGAATAGCATTATGCATCTTCAAAGGATCTCGTAAAGGTCAGAAAAGGTAACTGATATAAAATGATCCAGGTAAACATTTTGTTTTTAGGAACATACTACCTAGCGTTACGTTTGTCGCTTATTCGAATGGAAAATTCAACTCGGTCTTTTATGATTTTGTTCACCATGACCTGCGAAATATCAAACCAGGTCAGTAACCTTACATGAGCATGTGGCCTTTAGAAAAAAACAGGTATCTAGGTTCTAGGACGACTTGGACACCAGCTTAGAATTTGACCTTCTTTTACCACATTTGACCCTAAGGCCATGACCTAGAAACCTCAGATTTTGACCTAAGTAAGACCACCTACAGACCAACACATCTTGTGGATTTTGTGTCTTTGGCTCTCTTAGCTCCTGGGATCTCAGAGGGAGGGGAAAATTGACCCCCACCCGAGAGCAAGGAATCCAGTAGGCCACCCGGGCGCGTGTTAACATGCGTCCGGGTGACTGTATGAGTGTCTTTGCTAAGGAGGGGCTCAATTTGATCCAAAGCTAGAGGCACCAAATGTACAGAGTGGGGTGGCCTTGTATGTGAACTCATGTGTATCCAGATTTGATTTTCTTAGGTCATGACCTTAGGATGAAACAATGCCAAATTCTGGGTTGTCTTTAAGGTGTCCTCAGAGCTCCTCATGCAGCCACTATATACTTACATGTCGTTGTGTCGAGTGATTAAATGCCGTTAGCGGCTATTGCAATTCGTTGTCCTTCCTCGACATTTAGAGGGTCGTGGTGGCTAACAGCCTATGAGTTTGCTGTATTGTTTTCAATTTCAACGAGTGTCAGTGATTATGATAGGTGATTTTCTCCTCCAGACAACATGTTGCTCTGCGTCATTTTAGGCCAGTGATCTCGTCTAATAATTTGTTCTCGCATGCAGTTGAACAGTACAGCAAAATGTTACTTCGATGATAGAAACAGCCCGATTTTGACCTGCAATGGGACACCGACCTTACAGGGCACATTTCAATCTTGTGAACAAAAACATCTGTCATGAAATTGCCTACAGTTTGCCAAGTTTTGGCGCCACTTGACCGCGTCGTACGGAAATCATTTTGGAAAAAAGCGTTCGCGGGTCAAACTGGCCTCACCCACGCGCGTGTTAATGCCCCCAAAGAATCAGAGACGAGGAATGAGCAGACCACCTACACTATTGCTAATATCATGACGAGATTCTAAAGCGCCAGAATGTCGAGTATTTTGTATTGGTGTCGAGTGAAAAGATATAGGACAAGGAGCAACAGTACGACCAAACACCAACAGGGCCGTAGCAAATCGTACGAATATTTGTGCGGTCCTACGTTGCCTGCGATGTGGTCAGTCGCCTTATGTCTACAGATCGCGGGTAAAGCTCCTCCGGAATGGTTGGTTGCCACTTGAATGTTTCCAATCGGTCGATGCTATTCTGAGATATCCGGGGAAGTTCTACCCCCGGGAGGTTGCGGTTGACGAAATATCCCAAACGGTGCCGGGTCAACATAACTGAAATAGCTTGCATATAGGTGTTGCTGTAATCTTCACCCACGGGTACTGAACCACCCTGCTCACTGTATGTACTAACGTCAGGGGGATGTCACGCGCGGTCGACAGCTGATGCTTCCGCTGACTGTATGCCCGCCTGACACTCGTTCACAGCCCGCCGGGCGTCTCCGTGAGGCCGCTGGACAGCATGCACCTGGACACCGTCAAGCGTTTCTGGCCGTACACCGCGGTTACCCCCGATGCCGACGGTGTGATGCGCGACGGCATGACGGTGGGCCTCAGCGTCGGCGTGTTCGTCGCCGTCGACAATGACGTGGCGTCATCACCTGACGGCGAGCTCGTCTGCTGGGTGCTGCTCAACAGAAACGCGTTTCTGGGCTTCCTGCACACGCTGGAGTCGCACCGGCGGCGAGGCCTGGCGCGGCTGGCGATGGCCGAGCTCACCCGGCTCTTCCTGCAGCGCCGCCTGCCCTGCCTGGTCGCAACCGCCGTGCCGTCCGTGATGAACATGATGAAACCGCTAGGCTACAGTTCGGTCTGCAACGTGTTCTGGGCGCAAGTCTATCCAGCAGAAGTCGGTGCGACGCAAGAAACGGAGTAAGATGATGGCGTCCAGCAGCCGGGCGGTCCGACGAGAACATTATCGTAGCGCGTATAACTGCCGGTCAAAGTTTATAAATACAAACTCTGAAGCGTCTATATATATATATAAATATATATATATATATATATATATATATATATATATATGTAACGTGTGCATGTGTATGTATGTATATATATATATCATTGCATGCCAGAAACAAAAATGGGTAATATCCGAGAAGTTCACCGTAACTTTCCTTATACGGTAACTTCCAAAGACTCTGTCCCCCCAACAATTTTGAGAAATCGACAACCCTGAATACTTCTATGCGTACACAGCGTTTACAACCATTCTCAAACATGGCTGTGACGGTACTATCAAACGTCGAAATAAATTGGCAATCGAACGGCATGGCGTTTTCCGAGTTAAAACGGTGCCTCGCATAATGTGGTCAAACTCGTCCCGTAGCGTGTTCGCTAGGTGCTAGGTCGTCTTGGCGCGCATTTCCGGAGCGTACACCAAAGCAAACGTGACAAACAAAAACCGTACTCGCTCATTGGAAAACGCAGCAGGCGGCCCGAGGTGGGTAGATGTGCCGCGCGCAACGCCATCTCGCGGTAAGGTGCGCTGTAGGCCATGGAGGACACATGCTCTGTGGTCGTCGCACACCCCGACCTTGGCACAGGCGGCGTCCCAGGACGGTCCGCTGTCGCCTGCAGCCGAGAACGGCCTTGAGAGGGAGAGATCTCAGACCTGGTGTTGCCACTATCGGGCCGGAGCAGGGCCTCTTGTCACCATGGGTCTGGCACGCCCACGGGCAGGTGTCAGTCGGCTTTATCGGCGCGCCAGTGGCGGTGAGGGCTCATGCTCGGTCCGACCATGAACAAACAGGACGTGCAGCTAGTGAACGAAGGGGATATAGACCATCTCGTGGCTCGTCTGAAGGCATATGGCCCAATCACAGCAAAGGTGAGTGGTCCTGAGCCGCAAGACTTCACCTACGTCATAGGTTTAAATGGGCCGTGAAAGAACTCAGACTGCTTCACAAGATGCACGGCCATGTGTATTAAACATTTTCAACGACATCACATTCTGTGATGTTATCACAGTCCAAGGTACGGCTACATGTTGTTTACAGAGCCGCGGTGCGACCAGTGAACGATGCCTGACGAGTGATTTGAGTATTGCTATGAAGTTCAAACTAAACCCCGGCTCAGCACACCGTCACGCTATTTGGAGACTAAGATGTGAATTGGATGGTGATTGTAGAAGGTAACGCATGCAATATTTACGCAAACGAGGTCTCCGTTACAGCGCCTGTGCTACGTCAAGAAAAGGGATGCGCATCAGCGTTGTAAGTAATCCATTCTGTGGTAAAGGAGACGACCAATGGGCCGTCTCGCTTTTGGGCTCTGATTTGGGTGGGGAGCTTCAGTCCCCAGCTTCCAAAACCATTGCCACGGCCCAAGCTCAAGCAACCACACCATCAACGACCTCTACAGGCTGGACAGCGCTGCCAACGCCGGAGACCGAGCTGTGACTTAACACGCGCTGGGGTGGGAGTCACGTTGACCCCCCGAAGATTTTTCCGGAATAGTTTCCGAACGGCGCGGGGCCGCCGCGCCAAATTTGGCCAAATCTTGAGGCACGGGACCATACCCCCATGAAACATGCCCAGGGAACCTAAAGGCTCCGAAGGAATCCATAACCGACCGAGCGGATGCAGTTTCCTAACAACAAAAACACATCAAATTGGACGCCTTTGAGCCTAGACGACCAAGAACAATTGTTCGTAATAGTAAAGAATTCACAAGCAAACGAAGTTAACTGTTAACTGGTCAAGGAAGTCCCGCTTGGGGGAATTTTGGGGCTCATTATGCTGCATAGAGGCATTACAGTGTTGATTACCCTGGCCTTATATCGGATGCGTATTGAAAGCCAGAACGAAGAAGCGACGAAATGTTCCTTGTACTTTGTATCGAGGTATAATTTGTGTGAATTCGAGTAATGTGCAGCATTTTTATGATCTTTTGCCACGGTTCTTTGGTTACATATGTTTAGTTAAACCGGTTTTACATGAGTTCTACTTCGTAAGAAGGCTTGGTTAGTACCATAAATGCATTGTTTCTTTTCAAGGGCACGTCAAATGCTTTTGCTTCTGACAATGACAGCCTCGCTTTTGTTTCCCATCACTGTTTCCGATTTTAAGTTAAACGGACAAACATCTTGCAAGGGAAATCTCTAAGCGGTCTTTGCAAAATGGAAAGGAGATACACGGGTAAACAACACAATCGCTAGCGTTACGAAGCAATGAGCTATAAGCCGGATGGAATCCGGCCAGTTACATTTAGCAAAAACCCCCTTCCCAGGCATCACCGTACCATGATTGTTTCGCTGTACGACTGTCGACGTTGTGAAAAGAGCATTTAGATTTACGCTTGTTTTTGCTACACTCATACTATTCACCCAGGAGGAAGGACGTTTCGCTCAAATTTAAACACAGCAAAGCAACCTGCGATATTCATTGAGCCGTAGATACTAGTCAGCCGAAAAGGTGCTAGTCGCCCTCGCCTCATCTCTCGTCTCGGTTTCACCGCACATATGTCGAACACTTTCAGCCAATGGATTTTGCAAAGCTTCTTTATCGCCGTCAGCCTAGAAGGCTTCCGGATGATGGCGTGCTAACCATTGTCACCTAATTATGGACCCCGCTTTCCTTACAGACGCGGTGTCTTCTGCTCCTTATTCAGAGCGGTATCAACAAGTGCAAGCATTGGATCTACGCAAGCCCCGACACGTCGAAGCCGCTGGTGTCTATTGTAATCACGGTCAGTGGATAAAAGAACATGCTGAAATGATCCCCATGCAGCGGAAGGTCCATTCAAATTTGACAGCTGGATTGTACCTAAAGCAGGAATTCCTGTAAGACTCAAGTAACATATTGGAAACGTTCGCAAGGCCTTCGTGGGTGCTTGCTGCTTTGAAGAACGATTTTGTGGATGAAATTTCGTGAGTTTAGAGCTGTTATGCTACGTAATCAGCCTTTCATATACCAGGAGATATAACTCTAAAGACGTTGTAGAGCAAGCATGGGATGCATTGACCTATTCGACGCTCCAAGTTTGGCCTAATATAATGAGCCGAAAGTGTTACTCAGTCGTGTCAATACAGTCGTGATCAAAGACACAGCTTGGCTTAAAATGCTGTGTGCTGACAAGATATCAAGATATCATTGCTTGGCATATACCATCGTTTTTTCCTGAATTCACACTGCCGAGCAACCAGAAGCTGAGCACCTTTCTTGCTTATATGAAGGCGTTGATTAACACGCGCTCGGGAGGGGGTCAAATTGACCCCACGAAGGTTTTTCCCAAATGGTTTCCGAACGGCGCGGCGTAGCCGTGCCAAACCTTGCATGGATGTAGCCAATTAAATAGCAAATCGTTTGACATAAAAAATTGAGATGTACCTTGTACGATCACTGACCTATAGCAGGTCGAAGTCAGGCTATGGTCTCAGCAAAGACCATTTCTAGGGAATCGTTTAATCTGATGCAACAACGGAGTGTTAAACGAAACCATACATCTCTGAGATGCTTTCTTCGGCAACACAAGTATTGAATAAGCAAATTACGTTGACCTAAAGTCAGGCATGAAGGTCAGACCGGGGTCATGACCAACCTGTTTTATTACCCTAGGGCTTGCCGTATGAGATAATTTCTGGTGCTCATCTCGAATTTGTTAATAGGAGGAACCGCATTATGCACTTTTCATGGACTTCTTAGAGGTCAGAATAGGTCATGGACCTAAAATGACCTGGGTCAGCATTTTGTTTTTAAGAAGCATACCGCCTAGCGTAATCTTTGTGGCTTATTCAAATGCAAAACTCAGAGCAGTCTTGTATGGTTTTGGTCACCCTGACCTTCAAAATGTCAAAAAAGGTTGCTGGCCTTAGATGAGCGTGTGACCTTTTGCTTAGAAACAGTTATCTAGGTTCTCGGGGCACTTAAGAAACCAACCTGGATTTTGACCTTGTTTGACCTTATTTGACCCGAAGGTCATGATCTAGGAACCTCAAGTGAGGTCCCGTGCAGGTCAACACACCCTGTAAATTTAGTGTTTCTACCTTTCTCAGTTCCCGAGATTTCATGGGAGTCACATTGATCCCCACCCGAGCGAGGGCTATCTAGACAGCCCCCCGGACGCGTGTTTAAGACCGAAAGCTGTTGACGCTGTCACACACTTTGATACAGGCTCAAGTGTTCAATGACAGGTGAAGGATGGGTTGGCTCATGCTTCTCATGATCAACGGAGAAAACTTGACGACTGACGACTTGCAAGTTGATATTCACGAATCCGTGTCACGGTACCAATTTGCAGCAGATGTCTCATTGCTGGTGGAAGAGTTAGGCTAGTGTAGACTTTGATCGTGCCAGTCATTTTCGTGGGTCAGGGAAAGATAAATCTAGGCAGTCAAGAGCTTCTTCTTTCCGGTAACTTACCGAAAATTTCGGTCCAACTACATTTCAACCTCAGCGTCTACGTCGATACTCACAGCAAAACAAGGAAAGTCATGCGCGCTTACGCCATCGACGGTCATGGTCGTCGCACCTGCGCTATTTGCACAAAAATAAGCCACTATCAGCGTAAATGTTGCGCTTGAAACAATCCCTAGGGCTCTGACTTCAAAAGTACCGCACCGGGAAGCTAAATCGGTCCTCTGTTGGGACAGATGAGCAGAAGAAGAGCCATGGTGAAAATGGTTCCACTGGCAAAATTGCACGATTTTTTTTTTACCAGCCACACCGATGTGTTTGATATGCCTTGGCAATCGTAAACGTATTCTCTTGAAAACGCGAGCGCCGACCTTTCCCTTTTTTGCCGCGAAGGTTTTGACAAAATCTCGCGCAAACATGTAGGTGAGTTCTCGACAAATAGCTATACTCTCCTTCAATCCGTTTCTGGACATAGCCATAAAACTTTCGGAACTGCCGTTATTCCGAGAGCGATCTCAGGGTTTCGCAAAACATTGAAGCTCCAAATTGTTGGGGGCCCAAAAAGTCACTGCATTTTGGGCATTGGTTTTCTCACTTGCTTTGGTGAAAAATTTGACTTCGGCAAAGAATGTTTAACATCCATAGTAGCGTCATTTCTCTACGCCCTAAACAGCGGACTCGTCAGTCAGTGTTATCTCTAGTTTGGACCTGCTAGAAAACAACGATTTCCACTCATATATTTCGAATTGCCAGCATTTATCAACCAGATACAGCTTATGGGGAAAAGCTATTTAATCGAACCACTGAATAACGCTCCGTATCTTAGTGAACAAACAGGTCTTTTTCTCATGAATACTGCGGAGTATCCCAACAGAAATGGACGCCTTCCAACTGGCCTGGTTAATACTACAACCAGAGACCGTACTTTACCAGAAATGTGCTATTTCTTTTCATGGGCACGTCAAATGCCTTCGCTTCCAACGACAGCAGCTTCGCTTTTAATTTCCATTGCGTGTTTCCGAGCTAGGCGGACAAACATCTAGTCTCGATTCAGGCGGAACCGTTCAGATGTGCGATCGACGTCATCGTGAAGGTTCCACGTGCAGGTCCCTCCTCAGCGGAGGACGGAGTGATGCATCGACCTTGCTGTTGTCGCCTTTCTCAACAGCGCTTTTCTCATTACAAACGCCGGTGAGATGACAAGGGCGTCCTTATGACGTCGAGGTGTTGTCATGTAGCCAGTATGGATCCCATGGGGTTCGTCCTCAAGGATATGATGTCCACCATTTACCCCACGTTGGAAGAGCTGGAAACAGGTGGGCTGTTTGTGTGCTGTGCTCTTGTCTTGCTCACCGATATGATATCCTCTGTTTTCTGAACGTCAGGGAGGGCATACAGTCGAACCCAAACGTGAACGTAAGCACAACTTGGCTTGAAATGCTGCGTACTGACAAATTAGTCATTGCTTTGACTACAACCTCGTTCAATCTCTAACTTCATAATGCCGAAGAACCAAGGGCAGAACGTCTGTCTTGCTTATCTAAAGCTGGTGATTTAAGACCGGACAAAATGGTTCTAGACACTCGCTATTAACGTGCGCATTGGATATCCACCTGTAACAAGGTTGGATTTAACGGTAGTAAATATCCCATCTGGCTTTTATCCTCCACCTGTGGAATCCCTCCCTCCCCGTGATCGCACGCCCCATTCCCTCACCGGTGGACCAGGCCAGAGCTGAGCCGGCCTTATGTGCTCATTCTTCTCCAGACTGGCCTGACCCCGGCTTCCCTCCTGCCGACCTCCGACAGTTGGCCGCGCCTGACTGGCACGTGGTCGATGCTTTCGCGCCGGACGACGCAGCCAGCATGCGTCGCCTGACTGCCGCCATGCTGGCGCCTGAGCTGCACGAGCGATTGTGGCGGGTGCCGTTCCGTGCCGACCGCTGGCCCTGCTACCTGGAGCCGGTGCTGGATCACGTCTGTCACCAGAGAGGGTTCAGCTCCAGACACCTCAGCGCTGTCGCTCGGTTGTTCGTCAAGGAGGTGCCAACGTCGGCCAAAGATGTGCCGACCTGCTGGTGCGTGTGCTCTGGTGCCTTAAAAAAAGGGAAGGCAGTTCTGGCCGATGGCGCTGTGTTAGCATGGTGACTCTTGCACCTGCTTTAGCTTGGTGCCGAATCAAAAGATACGGAACTTCAGGCGCAAATACCGCGGGGAACAAAAGGGCTGTTAAATCATTCAAAGACTTTTGTGATCCTCAAAGATGTTTACATAGCCTGTGACGTCATCAGTAGCTTTTCATGTCAACAATTCCTGAGCAAGGTTCCTGCGTAATGTTGGTTGCCACTTGAACGTTTCGAATCGGACGAGTCTATCCAAAGATAGTCGGTGGAAGGTCTACCCCCAGGAGGTTGCAGTTGACGATATACCCCGGACGGTGTCGAATCGTCATGACTTAATTAGACTAATAGTTTGCGTAGAAATCTAGGAAATAGTGGAACGGCACAGAAATTTTGTTGCTACTTTCATCCATGTACACTGCGCTACCCTGCTGACTGGATGTACTAACCCCAGGAACATGTGACGCAGCACAGGCAGGTAGTGCTTTCACTGACTGTGTATGTCCGCCTGACCCTCGTTCACAGCCCGCCGGGCGTCTCTGTGAGGCCTTTGAACAGTATCCACCTGGACACCGTCAAGCGCTTCTGGCCGTACACCGCGGTTACCGCCGATGCCGACGGTGAGATGCGTGACGGCATGACGGTGGGCCTCAGCGTCGGCGTGTTCGTCGCCGCCGACAATGACGTGGCGTCATCACCTGACGGCGAGCTCGTCTGCTGGGTGCTGCTCAACAGAAACGCGTTTCTGGGCTTCCTGCACACGCTGGAGTCGCACCGGCGGCGAGGCTTGGCGCGGGTGGCGATGGCCGAGCTCACCCGGCTCTGCCTGCAGCGCCGCCTGCCCTGCCTGGTCACAACTGCCGTGCCGTCCGTGATGCACATGATGGAGCCGCTAGGCTACAGTTCGGTGTGCGACGTGTTCTGGGCGCAAGCCCACTCAGCAGAAGTCGGTGCGACGCAGGAAACTGGGTCAGACGAGGGCGCCCACCAGCCGAGCGGTCCGGGGTAAACATCATCGTAGCGCGTACAACCTGCTGAAGAATCTGGCGACCTGGTTTACTAATGTCAATGATCAACTCATGTTAAGGCGTTCAGCTAAGTCATCCATCCAACGATCTGCTTCAACTTAATTAGTTCAGCAAGAGTCACAAACAGCAGTGCGCTGATAACGTATGGCATGAACGCGCGAGCAAATACTCGGAGTCTTGTGACCCAATGACCCGATACTCATGTAAATGTGGCTTGCGACAGTTTCCATTTAAGTGGTTGGGTACAGTGCCCTGCGGACCTCCGGATGGCTTTTGACATCTTCCGAACAGAGTCAGTCTGGTCTGGAGCAAACCTGCGCTTAGCACACAGCCCTTAGTAATTAACGAATCCATGTGACGATAGAACATTCCACGTGGCAATACATTTCACAAATCGAAGGGGGCCGACAGAAACAGCAGTCTTTTACTTCTGAATCATAAATAAAAACGAACTTACCATTTTCAAATGATACACAAGGGATGACACCAGGAGAAACCATTTCTTTCACATACCTTCTGTCTTTCACCATCTTCTTCTGCGGTACATAGAAGCATGCTTTGTCCATCCCGAATGACAAACACTCGTCCCTGTTCTTTTGATATTTCTGGGAGTCGTAGCTGGGGTTCGTGTCGACGCACCGAGTCTCTTGTCCGAGCTATGAGTGCCCAGCTGCTTCTTGGGCGTCGGCGCGGCCAGCAGCAGCCGCTTGCGCTTGCGCCGAAGCAGCTCGTGCCTAGACTCCCAGAGTGACTAAGAGGGACGTGGGCTGGCGTCTCTGGAGCTGAGACATGGGCCGTGGATGGCTGACCTTGCAGACCAGTTATGAGACGCCGGTCAGTGCCTGCCCTCCTCACACACACGCGCAGGTGAACACACCAGTCACGCATTATTGGCCAACCCCTGCACCCGTGTAACCGCCACAGGGGCCTTGTCCACCAGGCCCCTGGTGTCCAGGCCGCTGCAGCAGTCGCAGATGCAGTGCGTTGGAAGTGCGACGGCGCAGCGCAGTTCGCCTCTGGCCCGAGATGCGCTGGTGCTGCTCGTCCGGGGGGTCATGCAGCAGCGGCTCCCCGTCCAGCTGGGAGGTGGACTGCAGCAGATGCTCGATGTGGCGCGTGTCGCTGGACAGTTGTACGCACGCCATTGAGCCCGTTCCTTTTCTCGTGTCGTGGCCGCACAGCTGCCGGTGGTGCCGGTGATGGTGGAGGAGCATTGCTGTACATACGCCGTTTTGCATCGCAGGCTGCAGCTACCAACAAGTATTTAATAACTTATTAATTATTTGGAGACAAGGCACACCACGTGAGCGTCTTGTCCAGCGCTTATAATGTACATCTCTGAAGGGACAGCGGAAATTGTTTCGGGATGAGGAGGGTGGTGAAGCCTTTCGAGCGTCCAGGCACCCCATAATGGGAATTACCCCTTGGTGTTGGTATCTGCAAATTTGGAATTGGTTCACTTGGGCTTTCACATAGAGGACATATCACCACTAATAAAGATGACGATATTACGGTGCTGATGACCAACGTATTATTGCACTTCCCATTACCTCCGGTGCAGATTTTGTACTTGGAAAATGAATATTAATATTTTTCGCTATTTTTTACGTAAGGCGAGACGTACCTGGAGATAATTCGTTTCAGATGAAAGGTGGTGCATTCTGACGCGTCAAAGGCGAAAAAGTGCCGCCGCAACGAAAATAACTTTAAGCCCAATTCATGACTATGTGACTTCTCCAATGCGGCGCTCTCAACCAACCACTGGTTCACAATTGCACCGAAATTCTTCCGCACGGACGAGATAAAAATAATGATGAATGGTTTGACGGCTATACACCTTGGACAGTGAACTTTCTTTTATGCACAGTCTGGTCAGCTATAGGCTGCCACCAAAGTCATTTCTTCTTATCAGGGGTGGAAAAATGCCTTTTCCTTTGCCGACGAAACAGTCCAATCAAAGAAAGTCTCTGTTCAGGGGCAGCACAGCTGCAAGTCGATGGCTGTTTCGGCGCCAATGGGTATTTGGTGGCAAGTATTATATTGTTCTGTATAGTAAGGCTAGATCATGTGCATCAAAGAGCATGTGCATCATCAGCGGCAGCGGCAGCAGCGGCAGCGGTAGCAGCGGCAGCGACAGTCGTGACATAAGTCATGAAAAATGACATTGAAAGTCATCAATATTAATTGAAGCATGCTGTCGGGCAAGTAACGAAAGAAAGCGTAATGTAAGTCATCCTGGGCTACTAAAGTGATATCGATGGACTTAATTGCATCGCAGAGCTCTAAGAAAGAAAATGACATGTCACAGTCTTCTCTGTCGTAAAAAGAAAGCAATGGGGATTTAAAGGAAAACGGGAATGCGCTTGACCCACGAAGCCTGCGTTGTAATTATCTGGAGAGCTACAACGGGCGAGACTTTTAAGCGAGAGCCTCCATGACATGGGACGATAAAGTAACTAAAGCATTGCTGATAATCATTGTCTGAGAGCTGGAAAGGAAAAAGACTGCCGCTTGCCAAGAAGTGCACGAGCTTATCTCCAAATTTTGGTTAACGGAGTGGCTGTTGTGGACTGTCGAAGAAAGGTTAGCAAAGAACGATGTTTGGGGGCTTTAATAATTTCCGTGGTTCGTGCGCGCTCAGACTTGCGGGCAACAAATGAGGAGTATCGCGATTACGTTGATAACTGTGAAAAGCACGTTTACGTCTCGCCATGACCTCAGTAATTTCATCTGTCCATTATGGCACGGGGAGGCGTCGTGGTAGAGGTTTAAATTAGTGGCATTGTTACGGTTGTTGCACAATGAAGAACATGTGTGATATGTCCGACTCCCTGTTCTGGTCAGCCATAGCGCTTGTGGTCTGCAAAACAAAGTTCCTGAAACTTGGCCCGGTCGGCTTTCCGCAGATTCCAGCGCGCCATAGTTGTGAAACTGCATCAGTAGCATGATTAAAAGTGGTGTAAGGTGGAACTGAGAAATGTTCAGAGAAAGGTTGCGAAATTGAGTGCCAATCTGGTTTTTTACGGCAAATGTTCCGTTTTGTCAGGATTAGGTGGAATGCATGAGGTATAAAGTATACAGGTATATATTAAGAGGATATATAAAGAACATACATCGATCGTGCAGCCATGCAGCCATACAGAACATGCAACAGTCTGGAGAGGTGTGGTAAGTGTGAGTGACATGCGTGTTGGTTCGAGTGATGTACAGCACAGCGCCAAACCAACCTAGCGATGCTCCCCGCCGGTGGCATCATAGCGATACAGCGAGTAATTTGACGTTTTAAATTTATATGGGTCAGAAGGAAGAAACCAAGTTTTCTGTACAGTGATGATGATTTGGGCTAAGACGGCAAAAGTGCTTTCATTCCAGACCATTTTTGAATTCGACCTCGACAATCACACAGCGATAAAAAATACATTTATTGGTGAACGGACCCATTTCCACCGGTTGGTGGGAATCAGCCGAAACAAAACTGACCGTGGACGGCCCATGGCCGCCCTCGCAGGGGGACGGGACCAGCAGTGCCCGCTCGGGCGTGTTGTGTGGCAGGCGTTGTGCAGGGGAAGGGAGCCGTTTTTGTGGTGGCTGGAAAGCATCGGCTGCCGACCGTTCGTAGCTGGAGGGCTAGGACGCCAAACGGCCTGAGCTGCACGCGGACCGCGCATAGCCGGAGGGCTGGAACGCCGCCCAGCCTGGAGACGGGGGTGTACGGGCGCCTGGGCGTCCTAACGCCCGACCGGGGGCGACTCGGCAGTATTAGTCGTCTGGTTCTGCGTGGTCGGTTCAGTTGAGACGGAGGTGCGAGAGGGGGAGGGGGGGACGAGTCATCTTCAGCGAGGAAACTGGGAAATATTGTCGGTCTGTGTTCCACATGATGCAACCTTGACTTTTGCTGTCTGCACACCTGTTTTGTTTGGCTGTGGAAACATCTCTGATTAAACGGTGCGCCGTGCCTGGGGATATAGCACACTTGTCGTTGCCTTGACTGCTCAGATCTCTTTTTCACGTTTCCACACAGAACATTGCGATGAGTTAGCATAATGTCCCGAGTCGCCACAATTCAGCCGCTCCGCCGGTGTCGTGCAGGCAATGCCGTCATGTGCGGCCGCGCCGCACTTTTAAAAGCGAACACTCCGTCTGCATTTTGTGCTCCCAGGACCGAACCGTTGACAGTTGTAGCAGCTCGTTGGGATTGGAGTGAAAGCGCGGACCGATACGAGAAAGGGAACGTGCACCGCGGCACGCGCACAACTGTCCAGCGACCTGCGGCACATCGGGCATATCAAACATCTGCTGCAGTCCACCTCCCAGCTGGACGGGGAGCCGCTGCTGCAGGACCCGCAGGACGGGCAGCACCAGTGCATCTCGGGCCAGAGACGAACTGCGCTGCGCCGTCGCACTTCCGAGCCGCGCCGCCCCTGTGACTGCTGCAGCGGTCTGGACACCCTCTTCATCCCGATACAGCTTGTGCCATCCCTTCAGAGATGTGCATCATAATTGCTGCACAAGACGCTCACGTTATGTGCCTTGTGTCCGATAATCGGTAATTTATTGAATAGCTGTAATACGGCATATGTACCGCATGTAACAGTGACACGGGTGCAGGGCAGGTCAATGATGCGTGACTGTTTCGCTCACCTGAGGGGAGGGGGCACGCTCTGACTGGCATCTTAAGACTGGCCTGCAAAGTCAGCAGACATCGCCAGCCAAAAAATCAAACAAACAAACCAGCAAACAGAAACAGGACGTATATAATAAAAACAGGAATAATTTGAGACAATAAGCATAAGTAGCGGATGCTCCTTGTTTCACTCCTTGTTTCAAATGACAATGACAATTTCGTTTTCACTTATGGTTCCCATTCAACAGAATGCCGCTTCAGTCGGGCCACCCCAGTTCGTCAACTATACTGCTACATGGGATCGTCCCATCATCACATGGATTCGGTACACCCTAAGAGCTGTGTGCTAAGCACAAGTTTGCTCCAGAGCAGACTGACTCTGTTCAAAAGATGTCAAACGTCATCCTGAGACCCGCAGTGCACTGTGCCGAACCAGTAAAATGGAAACTGTCGCAAGTTACAGCTGCATGAGCATCAGTAAATTGGGTACCAAGGCTCCGAAATAAACCGTTCACTTAATTGTTTTCAACTGCCTGTTAAAGTTCATCACTTCATTCCACGTGTCTTCCACCAGGGCCGCATTAGGTAAGCTGACACAGACTGACACACACACACACAGCCCAACAGCACGGCTCCAATCTTGTGCACCCGCCAGTAAAGCACGTGTGTGGGGATGGGCAATGAGCACTCCAATGAACATCCTCACTTTCATAAGAAGAGCCTTGGTTCGTACGCTCATATTAGGCGCTGTCAGCGTACTGCCCTTCGTGATTCTTT